AGAATAATCCACCAGGTTGAATGTTGGAATCAAATCCATTGTACCTATTTCTTCTCTTAAAAAAAAACACCAAAGACCAACCTTTAAAATTCTCTGAGCAGACAAAACCAGTTTCAACATACAAACAAAGCTTAGTTTAGCTTATTTTACAAGCCTAACTTGACCTGAGGCATTTCTTGCTAATGCCTCTGGAAGTTATGAGCACAACTTCAATTGTTTCCCAAGATTGATATGAGATAACTACTGACCAATTCCCTATCATTTAAGAATATTCTAATACTATAACCAATCAATGCCAAGAAAGTCACTGCTTTCTCACTGTATGAGCTGCTTTACACCAACATACCCCTGAGCCTCATCCCATGTTTTGATTTGAGTCCTCACAAGTTGGCAACGGTATTTCCGGTGTGTGTACAATAAACTTTTACTACATATTACTTCAGTGATCCACCTGGCTACTGTGGCTATTTCTGAATTTTGGATACTTCCCACATCTTCCTTCCCAGGGGATTGATGTAATCCTAGTTTGTAGTAAATTTAGGTTATCTTCTGTAATATGGAAGCTCCTTTGGTCATTTTAAGCTAGGTCCTTCAGTACCCCTTAAATAGACCAAGACCTCTGGCACCAGCAATGGAATAGGCTAGGGTTGGGAGGTCGGTGAGGCTCTTGTGACAAAAAGGGAACACGGGGCTGCCTGATGTCATAGGACTGCTTTGTTTCCAAGCACACTTTTTCCAATTCATTCTAGACTTCACTGTAACCTATATGATGTGCACCCCTAGGATGTGGAAATTGGAGAGGTCTTGAGGGATGAGGTAGTTTATATAGTAATAAGTGCTTTCAGAAGTCAGGGTTTACTGAGAAGAGATTCTGTGAAGAGGGAAAGGAGGAGCACTGGGCATCAGCCTTGGGCCTGGGGAGCGGTCATTGAGGTCATATCCGGACAGCAGGGACACCGGCCAAGGCAACGAAAGGACGCTGAAGGTTTGCTGTGACTATGTAAACATGAAGTTTCAAGGTGACCCTAACATTGACATGGGCAGTAGTTATTTGGGTCACCAAAATATAGTAATTGACATCATTACACAAAAACTATAATAGAATCCTGCTTTGATTTTGGTGTTGGAGTTCAAGTAAAATGTCTGTGGTACTGGCCTGTATTTCTGAGTTCCGTAAAGCAGTATTCTGTACATTATCATGCTTTGTGGGAGCATCAGGATCTCTGAAATAAAAAACTATGGTTTGGCCTATCATAGGACTGAATTCAGCTCTTAGCAAGGTGTTCTAAACTAAAATGTGAATTCCTTCCCTTTTGGAAGACAATATTTTTATTTTCTGCTTATGTTGTACAATCAAAAATGATTTGAGATGGACAGGTTCAATTTAAAGATATTTGTTTAAAAAAAAAATCTGTGCACCCTTTGAGGAATCGGTGATTCCAAGTGTGAGACTAGAGCTTGGAAGATGGCGTGGAAAACCTCATGGTGCTAATGAGCAAGGAAGCATTCAGGAACTACCAGAAGTGTGGCAAAGGGACCCAGAACCAACAAAAACGAGCCTCATCTGTCCAAAGGTGGGCAGTTTGAGCATCAGTAAGGATAATAACAGTAACTGCAGCGGGTTGAAACATATATGGTATGTTTAAGTTCAGGAGTTCATCATGAGGCTTAAAACCCCACAACACACCGTGCATTGATCACCTTTGGAGGATGTAGGGAACCAACTCATAATTTTGAAAAGGAAGAATTATGCTTGTATCCTGTCTTTCCCATAGGAACTGTATCTCAGAGTCACTGAACAGTTGATGGGAGATGTTAGTCTTCATATAAGTATTCCAGTAACAAATGAAAAAATCGTATTAAAATTAGATGATGTCATTTTTCAACCTCTGATGAATTAATAAATCCAGTCAATGATTACCAATGGCAGCTAAAATCACAAAGAGAGGCAGACACTAAGTGTCTCTTAGTGGATACGTACTAAGTCACTTATGATGTAGCCTTGCCAAAAATATTAAATTTAAACCTGGTTAAACTTTAGATCTAACTACCATTTACAGGGAACACAAGAGACAAAATGTCATGTTAAACGATCCTAAGAGGTGTAAGCAACAAGAAATCGTCTGTAGAAAACTCTATAGGAATAAACACCTGTCCCAACAGTGTTCTTCACCCCCCCCAAAGTTACAAGAAAAATAGCAGGAACCTATAGATTAAAGAAAAGCAAAGAGGCTTATCCAGCCAATCACAATATATAAATGTCATCAGGATCCTAATGCAAACAAACACGCTGTAAACATTACAAGACAGTCAGGAACTCGGAAAAACTCACTTGATATATGACATTAAGAAATTACGGTCAATCTTTTCTAGACTAGTGGTATTGAGATTATGTTTATATTTTCTGTTTTATCTACCACTGCCCTCCCAGTTTGCTCTTATCACATTGGCTACCAGTCCTCACAGCTGGATCAAAAGTGTGATTATCTGTATTCAATTTTAAGAACCAGATGAATATTCTCTTCCATTTGTTTGACAGTATCCCAAAGATAGCGCTCACATCGTCCCAGAGTTCATTCAGTACATATTTATGTGTTTCTATTTCAGAGATACAATCTGAAATATTACAAGGTGAAATGATATGATATCGGTATTGGTGGGTGAGAACTATAGGTGGAGTACAGAAACAAGTAAGATTGGTCTTGAGCTGGTAATTGTTGGATCTGAGTGATGCGCACAAAGAGATTCATTAACCCATCTTCTCTTTTTGAATATGTTTGAAATTTTCCACAATAAAATTTTAAAAAAGAATAACGTGAAAACTCACTGGAGTAACAAAAACAGACAAACTGAACACCAAACTTGACTTTGGTGGGATGTTAGAGTAAATTCCCTAGGGAAGCTGACTTCAAAGCTGGCTTTCAAATGGAGACCATCTGTCAAACTGCTCAAAGCTAGAGCTAACATGTCCTGGATGCCACTGGATCCATAGTTTCTGATCTTTGACAAGCACAACCATGTAGAATGTTGACCTCCCTCCTTTTGAAGTGGTCTGTATGGAGCTCATGAATTAGAAGCAGGTCGGTGGGTCCGTGGGAGCAGCGTGGAGCGGGATAGTCATAGGACATGTGACAGGAGCTTCTCTGGGAATCATCCTCCGGCCTCTTAGCAGCACTCGTGATAACACAGGACATGCCTGGTTAACGTGTGTTTTATCTCACAAGCCAGCAGCATACACTATTTTTTCCTATAATCTTAAAACCTATCAAGATCTTATATAGGCTTAGCTCTGGGGCGACAGGTGCCATGTCTTTAGGACACTGCTGAATGAATAGCAAAATTATCCATTTGACTCTCAAAATCAGTACCAATTGTCATACATTTGATCCAGCTGTGAAGACCGAGAACGAATGTGATGAGAGCCAGCTGGGAGGACAATGGGATACTTTTTTCCTAAAAGGAATGCACAGCTCAAGTGTGCTCAAAGAACAACAAGGATCAACTAGCTTAGTGGTTAAAACAGACCACGTTTGAGCTTTACCATATATTTTATGATCCGTAAACCTCAAGGTACATCACTAATCTACTTCCAACAGGAACAACAACTTGGTCATTGGTACCTTTGTAAACTCAGAGGCTACTGCTTGTCGCTTAAAATAAGAGTGAAAACTGAAGGTAGAAATCCAAATATATCTGTTCACGCTCTGGGGGGCTGGGGAGGGAGACAATAATACCAACAAAACCCAGTTTTTGACAGAGTGTTTCTATGGAAACAAACTGAATACTACAAAGAAAACAATGTTAGCAACCTAATATTCTTCAGGGTTTATATCAAAGATTCATATTTTTCACAAATTCTTCTCTAATATTCCTCTTAAAAGAATCCTTCTGTTATTCTGCATTCACTTAAGCTTTCCAACTAAAGCATTGTCATATATTTTTATAGTTAATCTCTAATTATTCAGGGGTTGCTTCAAATATATGTGTATGTCTTCAACAGCATATCAATTCTTCCAAAGGGCAAAGAATGAGCTTCTCATCTCCCCCACCCCAAATTTCTCTTCATGCAGTGATAGAGAGGCACCCAAAAAGCCTTCACTGGAGGAAGGGAGGAAGGAAGGACAGGCAGACCAAACAACATATGTAAGTCCAAAGATTGAAATATTACATTATTGTGGGCTGGCCAAGTGGCGCGACGGTTAAGAACTCGCTTGGGATGCCAGAGGGCCCCAGTTCGGATCCCACATATGAGGGCCAGTGACACTGCCCTCTACAGCTAAGATGCTGAACAACAGCTCAACCTGGTGCTGGGCTGCCGTGAGTTGCCGGCTATGGCAGGTGGGTTGCCATGGGCTACCGTGTGTAGCCAGCAGCCAGCATGAGCGGCCAGCAGCCACAGTGAGCGGCCGTCCAGAAGCCGGCGACTGATCTGCCTCGCCCGGGAAGAGCGCAATGATGGTGCCAACTTGGGCCAGTGAAGCAACGTCCTCCACAACTAGACTGAAGAACAAAAGGACAGCAACTTGTCTGTTCCCCTTCCCCCAATTCCCCAATAAAAATCGTAAAAAAAAAAAAGAAAATATTACATTATTGTTCTAAACACTCTGCTTCAAATAAATCGCGTTTTTAAGACTAAATTTAAAGATAAATCTTTAGACTAAATAAAATGTCAAGAAGAGATTTATATAGTTTGTTCAATTAAGATGAATGAATGATTAAATACTATGGGGCCCACAGTAACTAAAGGATAATAATTCAGGTAAATTGGTGCAACCACTAAACTATGGACTAAATGACCAATGCACCTTAACTATAATGCTCTTGCAACTTCAAAATCATTTCTTCTTTAACAGACCTTATGATCCTTCCCAAGGCTTTTTGTGTTTTTATTTAACAGCCAAACTAAAAAGGATTTTGTCAGATGTTTAATAATTGCACATAAGTGACAAAGTAATTTACCCACTTTAACAATATTTTTTACTAGTGATAACTAAAATTACCTCTGAGTAATTTGGTGAGAGATATTTCCCATTGCATTTGGCAATGCTCCTCAGAATTTTTAATGCTTTATCTCCTTTCTTCCGAGTGATCAGCCAGCGGGGAGATTCAGGAACCACCCTGGTAAGAAGGGAGCAGTTCTGAGTTCTGAGTAGGAATTCCAACACCTAAAATTTTTGACCCGAGTTTCTCTACCAAAATAGATCTTGCAATTAGATACAAGGTTAGGAGAATCTGAGAGTTTAGAATTCGGAAATGTAGATTATCTTTGCAAGTTTATGATGGAAGGGAAAAAATGCTCACTTGATAGCTGGATCATTGCTCATAATAAAAGTAACTAATATTACATTGCTCTTATAAGACCAGGCTATCCTAGAATATAGTGTCCTCAACTGCACCTATGAAAAGAACTAGGATTAAGTGAGCAATGAGGAAGAGGGTAAGAGCCCAATTCATGGAAAGTGATTTGCCCATATTATTAAAATCAAATCAGAGCAATCATTAAAATATGTGAACTCCATTAAGAGTCAGATGCATATACCTGTAGCTTTCTGATAACTTCATTTTTTTATGCTCTTAACATTTTCTTATTCCTCAGAGAATTCCTGAGCAATATTAATTTGCTTAATAGAACACAGAAAGAAGCAAATCCATTTCATTGCATTTATTTTGTCTGTTGAAATACTGGCAAATATTACAAATATCTGTAGCTTTCATGAAGATATTACAAAATAATAACATAATCAATACTCTATTTAGAATTTTGTGTTTTCATATTTTATTAATTTATTTTAATAACCACTATTAGACAAACAATGAATAAATAAGCTCTATAAATTTTCAGATTCTCTAGAAATTCTCTAGCCATTTTGGGGATTTTAGAAAAATCTCCTTAATTGCTTTCATTTTCATGTTGGTTTAGAAGTATAGATTCTTCATTTCTGTGGAATGAAAATAAATTTAATAATGACCAAAATGACATTACCAGTAATAAAGGAGGAAGAGAAAGTTGGGCAGCGTTATGGCCAGCTGGATCCCCTGCCAGTTGGGGATAAAGTAGGCAATTCCTGGGAGAATTATGATTCCGAGGGTGAAGAACATCTGAATCACAATTCCCACGATCCTCCTTTGCTTTGAACCTACGATTTCTGTGACTGAAGGGAAACAACAAACGCAGAGGTTAAGGAACCTCAAGATTGGCTCCAAAATAAACAAACACAGATGTAGAACCCGTTACATCCATCAGCATTGCTAGAATTCCACAGAACTCTTCAAACTTGCAGGCTTCCACAGGCACTGACACAATGGAGATGAACGCACTTTCCTCTACTCTCTTCTTTGCAGGTTACCAACAAGCATTGGCACTGTCCTCTTAGATGCCCAGATGGTGTTTTGGGTATGCAAAGAATGTATGTGTTGGTTTTAGGAAAGCTTCCATGATGACTATTTGGAAAGGTCGTTGTAATGGCCCAAACATAAAAATAATAAACTGTCTAGATTTTATCACTGGATCGCTAAAGATTTGCATATGATAGTCTCTTTGGAAGATCCATTATGACTCTACAAATTGTACCTTGTCTCTATAAGCTCTATATTAGACTCTACAAATAATTTTTTCACTATCGCAAGGTAGTTTCTCTATCAAATGATAATTCTCTCCACAATGTTGGATGTTTCATTTATGTGGTATTTCTTTAACAATCACATAGAGAATTTTACTGGGGACATTCTTTTCTCCCCCTCCACTCCCACTAATCGGTTTCTAAGTGTCACTAATTCTATCATGATCATCCTGGGATATGCTACCTTCGTATTGCCTTAAGATCACAACTTTCAAAATTCACTAGATTTGGGTTTCCTTAAAACACCTACTATTCCAAAGTTATCGCTTCTGACCCAGCCAGTGACAGTCAACTCTCCTAGCACTCTCTCATTCCCGTCTCATAAAAAGACCTTCAAAGGATGTCCAAAATGGGCACTGTTTGCGGAGGGATCATCTAGCAGTAACAGAAGAGAGTGGAAGCCCAAAGACCTCGAGGGATCATCCAAGAGGAGCACTGAAATGTCCCTGATCACAAATCCACCATGACTCTTAGGGTAAGAGGCCAGTCCCACTCACCACTGGAAATGGAGCCAACACTAGCAGCCAGGACTTTTCCAGTGTTAAGAGCAAAGAGCAAAGGGAAGGTTGCCTTTCTTTCGTACTCAAAAGGTCAAACTTTCTAGCTACGAAAGATAGCAAAAGTTCATAAACGAACTTCTCGTTTTCAGGTCAGATCTCCTGCATGGTGAAGAGCTCTCTACTTATGGGAAAGGAATAGAACACAGAGAGGTCATCTCACACTGTATCGCATAAATACACAGAAAATTCTTTAAAAATCTTTCAAGGACCTACTGGAATTTTTTTTAATGTGATATCATATAATTCTATCATCAGTATTTCCTGACTTCAAGAAAGTCAGGGTAGTCGGTACCCAACGGCCACACAGAACAGACTTGGAAATGTTACTACTTTTCTGATCTCAAAATAAAAACACAATGTCTTAGTCCTGTTATCTCTAAATCTGTGGCTTCTGTGGAACTACTGAAATTTTAATAAAAACTAATCTGTAATAAAGCAAAGCAAAAAAATAAAAATGTGAGAACAGTATGGCAGGACTAGAAAGTGGTTCATCCCAGTAGTATGTGATTTTCCATATTTGGTCCTGGTGGTGTTTTAATTTCTCAACAGTCAGAATCTTGCCTCTGTACCCTCCTATTTGCAGAAATAATTACTGTTGAACAACAAAGCCTCTCCATACTTACACAAGGAAGGCCCACTAGCCGTCACTTCTCACCCACCTGACCCTGGTTCTCAAACAGACAAGGAGACGTAGCCATGTCTTACCAATCACGTAGCAAGTCATCCATGTCCCCTTTCCAAACACGCCTTGTAAGAAGCGGAAGACCACAAATACAGGGAAATTCGGTGCAAATGCCACCACTACACCAGTGACACCAACGCCAAAACAGGATATTAAGTAAATGACTATTCTGCCGTACCTTTTTGAGAGAGAGAGAGAAGAAAAGATCACCTTAGACATTTTCTTCAACACAGTGGAAAAGAATATCATTGGAAGGTCGTTAAAAGAGGTGCAAGTACAAAATTTTGTCCTCTGCACCTTCATTGTTACCGTGTAAAGGATTGCTGAAAATTCTCCATTTTGTTTTACTGCAAAAGCAGGGCAAATAAAAACATGTGCCTCTGAAGTGACCTTATAAAACTTAAAGCACAGAGTGCATCCTTTGAGGTTGCAGCTTCAAAAACAATGACCCTATGTGTTACAACTGTTTTTACACACACAACCTCCCTGGTGGTAAGCTTTGACACTTCCTAGCATTTTGGTGGGTGGAGTCAGAAGGAAAACGGGGTAGAAAGAAGCAGCAACAGACGTTATAGACAGAAGGCCTGGGCCCAACCATCCACTAAGCATGTTGGGTAAATGTCTTAAGTTCACCAAGACTTGGGTTTTGTTGCTTTACTTGTGTTGTGTTGTTTCTGTCTTTTTTTTTTTCAACCTTTCTACTGTGAGGTTGTAGAGAGACTCAAATGAGATGCTAATATGAAAGCTCTTATAAGCTATAAAGTTCACAACCAATGTGAGTTGTTCTTAAGTTTTGTATTCTATTTTCACCATTTCCATAATATGATTAAATAGCTTAGGAAAAGGAAACGGTATTGTGTGCAATACATCTGAGAACCTGGTGTTAAATGGTTTGGTATAGCTGTGCCAAATTATTCGCTGGTGAAAGTATGTCATCAAGGACGTTTAAGAGATTTGTTTTGATGGCATTTTCCCATAAAGTTTCCATCAAATCCACACATATATCATCTTGTTTCAGTCAGTGGAGTGGGGATAGAAGCAGCCTTGGTTTATCTAGGTTTTTAAATTCCCTCTCTGCCCTTCCTACACTGTCCTCTCACAGATATGTGGCCCATTAAATTGCTTCTTGTCCTTTCCTTCAAGGAAATAAAGAAGAGAGGGCACTGAATGGTTGGCACTACATGAGGCAAAATTCTTCATGGGTCTGTCCCCTTCTCACAAGCACCAAGGTGCCTCGGAAGTTAGATGCTGTCTCCTCCTAGAACACAGGTAGGAGCACTGACCCTCCTTTAGTTAAGTGGCTTTAGTTTGAAGATATGTTTATTGATTGTGACAGAGAAGCATGCAGAAAAAACAAAAGCTAATGTTTCATTTAGGGAGAGTAACAACAAAATTAAAGAAATACATGCTGAAAATATATAACTCAATTCCAAATCATAGCCAGCTAGGACAGAAAGTGCCATGTGGGGGGATACGAAGAAAGGAAAGATGAATCGAAAAGGCTAGAAGTAGAAACAATAGAAGACACAGATAAAAGAGAGGAAAAGGGGAGAGAGAGCATCATACACAAAGGGTTAAGGAGAAAGTCACGTGCAAAAGAGGAATGTGGAGGATAGCAAGAGAAAAATAAGACACAGACGAAGGGACAGAAAAAGAAAGCAAACGTTCTACCCATTTTAGCCCTGGTCTGGTCAAACTCAGATCATCAATTGGCTACAGGACTGCGGGAGTTTTATTGTCTTGAATTAGCTCATTAATTGTTGTCAGTAGGTCTCTAAGAGGTACCCTTAGCACTGTCCAGTGTACACATGGTCACAAGGACATACCCAGTCTGGGCTAGAGGGACCAGAGCATTATTAAGCCAGATATAGCCAAGGGCCAAAGTTCCCCTATTCTTGTCCTAAGGGATGGAGAGAGAACTATTAAATTACTACAAGTACTTTCACAGTTAGAATTGGGATAAAGGAATCGTTACACATAAACACAACATCATCAACAATGTCTGAAACAGGAATAACTGAATAGAAAGCATGACCATCTTAAGTATACACATTCACTGTGTCTGCCATTAACTGGTATGTTTATGAACATTAAATCACAGGTAAAATTCTTAATGGTTTTTGAAAAAAAACCAAAACCTTTTTTTCACAGAGTTTTAAATCTGTAAAATAAAATACAAGGATTTTTTAAAAAATTAAATGAAACAGATTTGGAAGGGTCTGACCTCTGACTAATCAAACCACAACCAGTGAGTTACTGACGCACATAGAATCAACCCCACAGTGTCCAGCCAGCCACCTGTCAGCCCCACACAAGGAAGTCACCACCTTGATGGTCTCAGTTTCCACTCAGGCGCTTTCAGACCCACTGGGAGCAACCCCATCCATTTGTACAGTTCAAGGAACAAGCGGACTCAATTTAAGAAGGAAAGAATTAGTCCAGTCAAACCAGTGTGAATGTCATGAGGAGAGAAATAACATTGTTTTCCGTGTTTAGTAAAACTGTTTTTCTACAAGTTAACATAAAACATTTTCATCTCCACACATACGCGTTGTGTTGTAGTGAAGGGAAACGGTTGTCACGTCGGTGCCTACCTGTCTGCAGCATAGCCTAAGGTGAACGCTCCAGCCAGGAAGCCCAGGTTCAGGATGGCTTGTGTGAGGTCCAGCATCCAAGCATTGACACACACGAGGTCAAACTGGGAAAACAAAGAAACGCACAGGAGACATGTATCAACGTTTATCCTCAAGGCACCTGATCTTATCTGTTGTCTGGATCAGTGATCTTTAAATATTTTTGCTCACATACTACTAAATAAATTTTTAAAATCTATCCCATGCATATTTTTGTTGATTTATAAATATTTTCTTTGTCAGTTTCAATAACAGTCAAGGGTGTTAATTTCCAGTAAGTTATAAATACTGACATTTTCAAATACTGTTGTTACGTCATTTGTTCTGCTGTATCCAGCAGAGTCTAAACACCATCGCCATTTGACACCAACTATCATCTAGCAAAAACATTTCTTCAATTCTCTAAAATTTGGCATCAATTTTTTTTCTCTTTGAATTCTTATTTTCATTCCTACATACTTAAATGCTGATATTTTATGTGTCAATGTGCATTGTGTTAATGGTGAGGAAAATAAACATTATTTATTTATGTTGTTTATTTACCTCGCTATACTTTTGTGTGTAATAAATTATATATATAAATTGACATTTAATTAACAAAATTTTTTTCCTGACTATTTTAAAACGTAGTCTCTAAATATTAAAATTCTTTTCAATTAGGTTATAATTACAGTTACTTTTAGACCATAATTGGTAGAAACATAAGATACAAGCATTATTACACAGGAGTTAAAACTTTGTTGGACAGCACCTCTCCATTTCTAGAAGAATACTCAAAAAGCCTAGCGTTTTCTAGTTCGTTCATGTAATCTGTGGATGAGGATTGTTTATTACTAGAACAAATTAGGGTTCAACATCAATTCTATTCCTATTTTTCATTTTTAATAAATTTATGTGCCAAGAAAACTTGTCTGTATGAAAAAATTAATGGGAATGGAGGGAGTTTAGCTACAGCAATGTTACTCAATTCGTTTGCTTCCTTCTCAGTTATACGCCAGATTCACATAGCAATCTATCATCAAAATTATTTTTACTTTTCTATAGGCCAACTTGCCACTTAAGTCTGTCTACAATCTCGCTATAAGGAAAGAATTGGAAACCACCAGACTTACAAAAATTTATTTAATCAAGTCATTAGGGTCATTTCCTTTCTTAATACCAAAACCAATATTCCAAATTGTCCCACTGTTTGGATCCCAGAGATTTTAAAACCCCAGGTCAGTGCATCATCGTGAGATGGGAGAGAGGCGGGATTCCTTTTGCCAAGTGGGAGCACACGAGGAATAAGTAGCTATGTCCTCCTCACACGAGTATTCTCCAGCAGATTCATTTTGACCATGAGTGGGTTGAGGCTCTGAAACTTGATTCCCTTTAAGGTATCCAGGCCTCCCACCCCTGTGAGTGCCTTTGCATACCTCCAAATGGCATGCGTACCCCAGCAGGCCACTGAGTTGTAGCATGAAGAGAAAATCAATGTTGTTGGGACAGGAATTGTGAGTAGTCTCATAAATACACATTCAAAAGTGTAAACTGTCATATTTATTTTTAGAGCCCAACTCTTTCTTGGTTCTACAGCTAATGAATTGTCACCTGAATAGTTGGGGGAAAACATGGGGGACAGTAGTAGTTAGCCCATCTCCAGAGCTGCTGATGAGATCAATGGAGATTAAAGATGTACAACAATTTGCATATATATGTAGTAATAGTAATCGTGGAAATCTGAAAGAGTTTTATCATCAGTGTAAGCACCGCTTTCTCAAGGCACAACAATTTTACTTTGTTAATTTGCAGATGATTATTTATCTGAAATCGTTTCCCATTAGAATTAAACATGTAAAGAATGCAACTAAAATAAAAGTACAAAAAATCTCAGAAAGCAGAGGCATTTTAACTGCCAGAGAAAATATTTTGCTTCAGAAAAATACCAACCAGTGTCAAATATAAACACCCAAAGGGTAGAATTTGCTTCTCCCAGCTGTACTTCAGATAATTGAATTAGGGACACAGCCATGCTCTCCGCAGATGTCACAGCAAGGCTTAACAAGAGCTATCATTTTAATGCATTTGTTCAGGTGGGTTTTTTTAAATTAAGTTTACTGAAGTGACATTTGTTAGTAAAATTATATAGGTTTCAAGTGTACAATTTATAATACGTCATCTATCTATTGCATTGTATGTTCACCACCCAAAGTCAGCCCTCCTTCCATCACCATATATTTGACCCCCTTTACCCTCTTTTACCACCCTCTTCCCCCCTTACCCTCTGGTAACCACTAAACTACTGTCTGTGACTATGAGTTTTTGTTTTCATTTGTTTGTCTTGTTCATTTATTGCTTTCAGTTGTATTGAGATTATCATGCTAAGTGAAATAAGTCAAACGGAAAAAGTAGAGAACCATATGATTTCACTCATACGTGGGATATAAAACTTACATCTTTTCATGAAGCCACATCACATATTGGATGTGGCCTTAACTATATAAGCCCCAATTACTTCTGCTCTTCAGTTAATGACACACCATATCCATCTACTTTCTTAGTTTAAAACTCTGGAATCCGTTCTTGATTTCTCTTTTGCCATCACTCTCTATTCCATTCTATCAGTAAGCACCTGCAGCTCTACCTTTATGTTCACCACCTCCTCTATTACCACTAAGGGCAAATCTTCACTAATTCACCTGGACTCTCTGATCTATCTCTAACTAGTTTTCCCTATTCCATGCATTCTCATTCACAATTCAATTAACTGCTGATGTCTTGTTTTAAATATGTAATTTAAAATTTTATGGGTTTTTTTTTGTTATTGTTTTTGTTTGTTTGTTTGTTTTAGCTGAGCCATCCTGCCACCTGTTGGCAGCTCAGCTCAGGCCGGGACTCGAACTGCTGTTGCTCAGGGCTTGCACTCTTGAGCGAGCTCTTAACCAACTGAGCCATTCGGCTGGCCCAAAACTGTAATCTTTAACATGTCCTATGCCATGACACTCTATATGAGCTGTTACACTAGCTTTTAAACCTCCAATTGTACTACTTTTTTCTCATACAATTTTCTGTATCCACATTGGCTTTTGAATTGTGTAAATTAAAATGCCCCCAAATATTCTTTAAACCCACAAAATATTCCTTAACATAAAACTGATTATCTTTTTCACTCCCTAAGAGAAATTGTCAAAATGATTTTTTCATACTTCATGTTCAAATAAAATTAATTTAAAATGTCTAAATGGTTAAAATGCTATAATTCAACATTTTCTAAAGTACCAGGATGCATCCAAAGTACTATAAGGGTCACATATTGTCTGCCCTCTGTGCTTTGTTCTGCATCCCAGGAGCTGGAGGTGTATAAACCACATTTCCCAGAATCCTTTGCTAGCATGGTTCTGTTTAGGTTCTGCCAGCAAGAGGGGCTAGTGCAAGATCAGAAAGCAGGCAGGAGGTAGTAGGGACTCTACTTCTGGTTGTGGCAGCAGCTCCAGCTCCAGTCGCTTCAGGGCCAACAGTGGTTTGTGGCTGAAGCAGTCAGCCAGTGCTTGTAAACCACTCCCCTCCACATGGAGGCAAAGGGATAAGCTATGGAGCAGGTCAGCAGCTTCTGCAAAAACTGTCCTTCCTGGGCCGGCCGAGTGGCGCGATGGTTAAGAGCTGGCTTGGGACGCCAGAGGGCCCTGGTTCGGATCCCACATGTGAGGGCCAGTGACGCTGCCCTCCACAGCTAAGATGCTGAACAACNAATAAGTATATAAAAATGACTCAACATTTTGGAAACAAAGCTATTCAGACTGACAATGGGAAAAATAAAAACAGGTGACACAGTCAGCATGTACATCTCAGGTCTATTTATCTGCACATGGTTTGTGAGCACAGGTAATAAATACTAAGACATAAGTCAGAAACAATGCCAAGTACACAGCACGAGTCACAGCTCCTTGATTTTTTTTTTACTCTAACTACAATTATACTTGGGAGTGGCTGATTTGTACTTGAAATCATACAACAATTAGCACAAAAATGAGCCAACTATTTGATCATTTTAAGTACTAAAAAGGAAAAGAAAACGACACGGGATTCATCCTTTGAAACATTATACAGTTTACTGCTAATCATCATAATAAAAGTTTAGCTGCCTCAGGGCAGCCAGTTAGCTCAGGTGATTAGAGCGCAGTGCTCATAACACCAAGGTTGCCAGTTCGATCCCCACATGGGTCACTGAGCTGCGCCCTCCATTACTAGATTGAAACAACTACTCAACTTGGAGCTGATGGGTTCTGGAAAAACACACTGTTCCCCAATAAAAAAAATTAAAAAATAAAAATGTTTAGCTGCCTCTTATGATTCTTTGGCTTAGGAAAGGGAAGGCAGCAAGAGACTTAGGGACTTTTATTGGTGCAAAAATTAGTTCTATCACATTGGTTTGGCATTTTGAAAACAGTACCAGGGGATACTACTGGAAATTTTTCTCAAATACAAAGTGACATTTGGCAGCTTTCTGGGCTGTAAGACCCAGTGGAAAAGCAAGATGAACGTCATGAGCCATCTGACTGTAGGTTGGGTGAAACAGAGAGAGGAAAACGATTCAAAACTAAATGATTATTAATAATAATAGTAATAGTAATAATAATAATAATAAATCCTGCCATGGGCTTAATCATCCCTTTTGAGGAAAGTAAACACATGACCTTCTCTATGTGATCCTGGACAGAAAGACAGACTACCCTCCCCCGCCTCTGGTGTGAGGGCGTGACATGGGGTCCTGTTAACTACGGGACCTCTCCCAGCACATCTGGATTCCATTCCTTTTTAGAATCTGCCATCTTGAGATGTTAAGAATTTCTTGGTATATGTATTACTGTCCATGAGGCATTTCCTGAAGAGGAATTTTAGGATGTAGAAAAGACTCATTACATATTACAAGATTTCAGTTTCTGTCTTTCAAATTATTGGTAGCACTTTTTCTCCACTTGGAAACCACAGCGGCCAAAGATTTTCATAATCTAGTCAGAACATGGAGTAACATGTACACCTTTTAAAGTCTGCCAAAGCCTATATTTTCTAACAAGAGCACACTCTT